GTCGATAAAGCAAATAATCTCTGAGACAATGAACTTTGTAGACCCCTATAGACCGGAAACTCCTCACTAGTGAACAAAAAAGCCTTTGTAGAATATTTGTATCTAATTACTTAAAACTACTAGAGCTCGAGAGATATACAAAGCATTTGGAAGGCTGCTTACTTACTTCTCAGACATTTTGAAGACCTGATGTTCTCTCCTCTCTCTTCTTGATTGCTTGTATTTTTACAAACAAAAAGCTTTGTACTACAACGAAATGCAGTATCAGTCAACGACCCAAAGAACTGCACTGTCAAGAGCTTTTCTCAGAAAACCGGAAGAGGATTTGGTCAGCATACGGCCATTGACAAACTGTGTTCGTACGAGGGATCCACTTTGGCTTGGCTGCACAGCAACAAAAGGCGCAGGGTACCCGATCATAGTACAGTTAACTCTCTTTGCGACCACTCGTGTTTTGAACTATTTGGGTCTCCTGTGTTGTGATTATCATTGTTTGGGTTTCATGTGCTAACGTTCTCGTAAACGAGTAAGCATACCCTTTTTCCTGATCCCGAGGTGGTCGCTTAACAAGAGTATATATACAGTATCGCTAGAGTGTATGGAACGGTTTTCTGAATGAGGGACTCCCTAATATCAAAGGGCGGGCGTCCGAGGCGTCCCTTTTAGGGTTTGAAATCAGTGTTTTGGTCCCGCTTAGGGTGATAATGACGAGAATTCCCAACAACTGAGTTTTGTGGTCGCTTTTAGGGTATATGACGTCCCTAAGTCGTCATTTATGAGATCAAAAACCACAGCTGCTAATTAGATGGTTGATTTTATTTTAATCAATTTCATGTCTTGTCACTTAACACTCCTTAATAGACGAGATTATTGGTCCCTTTTRKRGATGAAATTTCAGCACTGCCACGCCCATCATCTCCAAATACAGGTCCCTCTTAGGGGTCATTTTCATAATTTCCGCCGAGGACCACCGCCCTTTGATATTAGGGAGTCCCCCTCGGGAATATAGAATTAGAGATTGATACTGGCAAAATAGTGTTCAGATTCGCTTTGCGGTTTTGAAGACAACAAAAGGCTGATTTACACGGTACGATTTGTCGCGCGCGACTTGTAGTATACGATTTTCCTACTACAAGTCGTAGGATTTTAGGCAGTGGTTCAAAATCCTACTACAAGTCGTAGGTTGCGTTACCCTGCGAGCAGAGGAATTTTCCACCCCCTTCTACGAAGATAGGGGAAAAATTCCTCTGCTCGCAGGGTAAGGTTGCGTACGACTGTTGTAGACAAGTCGTAGGGGCATTTACACGGCGCGATTCAAGTCGTATACTACAAATCGCACGAGACAATCGTGCCGTGTAAATCAGCCTAAACAATTTCTATTTCATGCAATCATTTTATTTAAGTTATTATCTTTGCGTTATGTTTACTCTTGCATTAATAGTGCGCAAATATAATGTTTTCTGATCTTTATGATCGACATAAAATGGCTTTTTGTAGAGATAAACTTCTTCAACGTCCTGTAGTCATTTGTTTTCCATTCAACATAAACAGAGTGTCATATTGGGCCTTATATAATATGCCATTACTATGATGTCTGCAAAGAAGTCAGCATATACCCACCTGCATATATATCTGTTAGTTGCATACGTAATCGTGTTTTAATGCACATTGATAAGAAATATAAAACGGCGCGCGTGTCTCTGTCCTCTGATATAAACCATAGTTAATATTAACTATGTATAAACACGGTGGGAGTTCGAAAAACACGAGAGAAGCAAGCTCAGGAACACGAGCGTAGCGAGTGTATCTCTTGCTTCTCGAGTGTTTTTCAACTCCCACCGTGTTTATATCAGAGGACAGAGACACAAGCGACCGTTTTATATTTCTTTTATGAAATTTTTCGAGCGAAAAGAAAATTTTGCCGGTAAGCCGTTTCTCTGTCCTCTGATATAAACACGGTCGTCAGCCAATCAGAGCGCGCGTTATATATCAAAAAATTTATAAATCAATATTTATCATATAATTTTCTATGAAATACCTATATTTCTCCGTTACGTAAAATTGATATTTTCACTAGTGAAAATAACACATTCGAGTTTTCTCTATATAGAGGAAGTAAGAAAAAAGGTATTTTGCGACATAAGTTGCTTTCATATTTAATTATATGATAAACAGAATATTATATGGTCGCTTGGAGATACAATCGAAGATAAAATTCGTATCTCCGCGCGCCCATGTAATATCCTCTATATACGTTGATCTAACATCAAATGGAATCCTTGTTAATCTATTCTTAGGTTTCATGTCGCGTCACAAAAAGTCTCTAATATGCATACTATGATGATGAAAACTATATATGATGTAACTATGGGTATTATAATGATATAAGAACAAAAACTGAAAAGTAAACAGTTGTTTGGTTCTCGAGATATTTACTATTTCATTTACTATATTCTAATTTCTGCCGTTATAAGGCTTTTTAAACGGTGGTCAGATGTGACCACCATCAGGATTTCCGCAATACATTTTTATCAAATTTTGCGTATCTTGGATCGCGAATAATTCCGCAACCAAATGCTCTNATAGCGTCTAAAGTCCGCGCTTATTTCTGTTTTTAATGTGTAATTATCCGTTCACAGCTATACGTTGCGGCACATGCGCGTTAATGTGGTCCATGGTTTACACTTCACTCAGAGCAAATGCTGTCTTCAATATGATCCACCATCACAAATCCATAAGCACCTGATGAGCCGTCAACAATTCGTATCTGAGCAGTTTGATGTTTGTATGCTGTGACGTCAAACTCTTTTTGCATCATGCTATTTGATGTTCCATCTGATGCTGTTTTGTCAACAACTTTTCCACCAATCAGCAATTCAAGACGACATTTGGTAGAGTCACTATTTCCGCCAATCAAAAACCTCAGTTTTCTTCCACGGATGACAAATGATGGTGATGTTGCGGTTCCAGTGGGGTGATCCCCTTGCTGTCCTCTTTCAGGGTCAGAGTGACTGGGTCTATTCTCGAAAGTCGCAATGGACCAATCACCTTTCAAGTTTGATCTTGCGCCTACACGATGATAAGGGTTGTCTCCATACGTAGGCTGATTGTTGAATGCTGTTCCTGCATGTCAGAGACCAACCATCAAGACACCCAGATTCAAAATCAAATAAAACACAATCTAAAAAATAGTTCAATTTTATTACATGCAATCTCTGAATGCAATCTTGAAAAGCAACGCGTTATTCAGCCAGTAATGGACGATGCCGAGTGCTGAGAATGTGTACCAAAATGATATAATCATTCGCTTGGCATTGAATCATGGATATACTAGACGATCATGGATCGCTTACGTGGGCTTCCTGTAGCTGCGACAATGGTATTTCATTTTCACGATACAGCCTTTGTTTGTAATAATTCAAGACAGAATTAAGTTAATATAAGTTATTTATTACATCATAATTTTTTACAGAACTGAACTTTAAGTAACTTCTTTAGATATCATGTCCCATTTTAGAACCATTTAAAACGAGACAACTTTTTGCCGCCGTCTGTCAGCCATTTTGTTTTCCTTCTGAGACTGCACACCATTTGCAATGCAGGCGCTACAATTTGAAGCCAAATGTTCACGAAGGAGAAGGAGAACAAAAGTCCACTTGTATTTTTAGACGTCGTCTTCCACAGGAAGCCCACGTAATAATTCTCATGCAATTATTCAGATTAAGTGTTCGTCCATAGCCGAAAGAGGACTCCTTTATTACGGATTAGACAACACGGATTATTTAAAAATATTGAACGAAATTTTTTTAAACAATTACTATATCTAACACACGGAATATAACATCAAATGGAATCCTTGTTAATCTATTCTTAGGTTTCATGTCGCGTCACAAAAATATATATTCTCTAATATGCATACTATGATGATGAAAACTATATATCATGTAACTATGGGTATTATAAAGATATAAGAACAAAAACTGAAAAGTAAACAGTTGTTTGGTTCTCGAGATATTTACTATTTCATTTACTATTTTCTAATTTCTGCCGTTATAAGGCTTTTTAAACGGTGGTCAGATGTGACCACCATCAGGATTTCCGCMATACATTTTTATCAAATTTTGCGTATCTTGGATCGCGAATAATTCCGCAACCAAATGCTCTRCAATCCAAAMTTTTTGAMAAAATGTGTAGCTTTTTATGCTCTCTAGGATATAAATGTCATATTTCAATGCAAATAAAATAAAAATTGTGATGACGTAACTGAAACCCAAGAATAGAAAAATATTT